TACGGAATTTCGGAAATGGTTAGGACAATGATTAAAAAAAGAAGGAGTAGCTGTTTCATATTCCTGCACAGTTGATGTCCGTATCTCATGGAGTAGCACAGTTTTCAACATATGAACTACTGTCCAAATGGACAGGATCGTATGAGCCTCATGCAAAATATTTACCAGCGATAGACTTCACTTGCGGTTGTGTCGCAGGGGCAGCGGGAACAGTATTTTCAAACCCAGCTGATGTTGTACGAACACGAGTTGTAGGCTTTCCTGGAATCAAATATCGCGGATTGTTTCCAACGGCTATGGATATTTACAGAAAGGAAGGCGTAAAAGCTTTTTTTAGGGGTACTGTTCCGGGAGTCCTCAGTAGAGCGCCTCTTGCTGGATTGCAGTTCTCGTTTTATCGGTGAGCATATGTTGGCTAATCTTAAAAGTATAAGAGATTAATTTAATGTTTATATACAACATCATGGCTTACTCATTCGTTTTTATATATTTTTGAGGAAATACTTGTTTTTAGTAAAAGCAATTAGAGCAAAAAATCAAGTACTTTTGCAATAAAGTTTCAAGAACTCATAGATTATGAAAATTATATTTTGACTTTAATCAGTGGTGTTGGAATATTTGTTTACCGGAACCGAATTTTTAAGACCGGTTTGAAAACCGGTACTCATACATGTTCCGGTTTTAGTGCTAATTTTGGGTCCATTGATTATTGGTGGCAATAAACTATGCCAGGGATGAGTAACGTACGGTCCGTGGGCCGCTTGCATTTCGACAAAAATTAGAAAAAAAATCCAGCACTCCTTTTTAAACTTTTTTTGCCGGAGCACGTTTCGGCATAAAAACAATGTACCGGAACGCCGTTCCGGCTTGTTCCGGTCTAAAAAGGAAGTACCGAAACGCCGTTCCGGCTTGTTCCGGTCTAAAAAGGAAGTACCAAAACGCCGTTCCGGCGCGTTCCGGCTTGGGGGGCGTCCATTAATCACATTAGGTTTTTGGGGGGAGGGGGGTTAGACCAAAAATCACGAAATATCACGGGGAGGAAGAAGTATAGTAAGATATCACGTGTATTTATTCTTTAACTGATTTAAAAACAAAATCAAAAAAAAAAACTCAAAAATTTTACCGTTTTTTCACGTAACTAAAAAAACACCTGATGTTTGGTTGGGGAGGGTTTTCAGTACGAAATTTGCTTACTTTTGCTGACAAAGGTAAGAGGGGGGGTAAATAATTGTAATAAATCTGCTTACGTAATACTTGAACGATCCCTATCATTATGTATCACCAAGGGGGAGGGGGTCCAAAAATCCTTAAAAACTCGCTCACGTGATTAATGAACGCTCCTTTTGACAACACCACTGACTTTAATGGAATTTTTCATAATTCCTATTAGAATGTTTTGAATTCCTATTAGAAAATGTTGCATCAAAGATGCAAACGATGAAATATATATATGAAAAATGTATGAAGTAAAATTTATATTTATATATATATATATATATATATACATACAAATTAACTTTTTTATTATTACTCATTAACTTTTAACTTATTTGCCTCGTGTGCTGCCTAGAATAAATATAACTGGCAAACTGGCAAAAATACATTGATTTACTAAATATATTTTTCTTATTTCATTGTTATTGATCAAAATTTTCAACAATCCGTCTTGAATTCGTACTTTAAATTTATGTAGATTATCTACCTAGGTAATTATCTAGATAATCGACCAGTTTTTTTTAAATTGATTTATAATTTGAACTTGTTAAAACTAATTTGTTAGAAGTTTTATAAATAGGCGCTTCTTACTCTCAAAGCCAAGCTTTGTAAAATATAAAATTAAATATTTAACGCTACAAGCTTATGTATCGTGTTCAATGTAGTCAATCTCGACAGACGTAGAAAATTTTGTTGATCTCTTGAAAATATTTTGTTAAATTTGTTTCACTATCAAACCTATCAAATTCTTGTAGAATATCTGTCGAACTATATGAGTCACTGACAGATTCAATGCCTGGCGTTCCTGCCCAATCATCATATTTATTTTCTGGAGCATTGGCCGGCTTTATAGCTGAAAGCACTATTTATCCTTTGGACACGATACGGAAAAGGCAAATGATCCAAGGCCAAAGGTACGGTTCTGTTTGCTGTACCACGAAATTTGAAAACATTTTTATTAAATTTGAGCTTAAGATAAATACTCATAGCCTTTTTCAAAATTTCGTAGATTCGTGCAAACAGACTGCATCGCCATTTGGAGCTGTGCTAAATCTATTTACTCGCATGGTGGAATTCGCCCTTTCTACAGAGGATTTACAATAGCAGCTTTAAAGTCGGCCATCTGCATTGCCTTACAATTCACTATTTACGAGGAATTAACATGACCCTTCGGCATTGTAATGACATTTGTAATTTTTGATATGTTATTTCTTGTCCTAATTATATAATGTTTTCAATCAGTCCTTGTGGAAATAATAAAATCGGTTCGTCATTGTCAATTTTTCATTTATGTTCTAATTTAATCAAAAATATGAAATAGTATTTAAGAATATTTTCTTAATAGATAAATAAAAGTTAACAATGTTATTGCAATATTTGTGTAAACTGTAATATACAAATTTATTTCAACGACAAAAGTCATGCTCAATATTTTAGGCATTTAATTTTTATATATATTACTGACCCCACAGTCTGCAGCCCTATGCACACCATGCCAGATTTTCTGATTAGTGCATGCCGGACAGTTACCTAGCAACGATATGAAAAATCATAATTAACGATCTTGCTTGACAGATTTCACGTTTACGCTCTCTATTCACAACGGCAGTATCCTTAACATAATTTCTGTTCATAAACGTTGCCCAGCGTTAAAAAATCACCAAAAAACAGAAAAATATTTGAATTATTTTATTTCTAGATCTTATTCGCTTAATTTAACATTGAAAATATTTATTTATTAGAAGGAATGTAGTCAAGTTCAAAGTGCTGTCATGTATGGACAGATTTGATACTACGGCGAGAGCAGCAAAGACTTTGAGGCGGCCGTACCCTCAAACTATCAATTTTACAAAAAAAACGGTTTTCTGAAGAATTGTAGGAAATTTTCTCTAGTTTAATTCGTACATAGATACTTTTATCGTAGAATGAGCCAGAAAGGAGATATTTTAAAAAAGCTATTTTTTGACGCCATTTTTTCAATATGGCGGCAACTTGCCGTCCAAATTTGAGGTGGCAAAGTTGATTTTTGTAAAGAGCACCTCGAAATCTATAAGATTACCAATTTTCAGAATTCCCGGAGTACTGTACCGGCAAAACGACCAAATGACTGGACTATAAGCTTAAATCATCTTATGGATGCATCCTAATCGAATACGATGCATATATATTAGCTTATAAGCATTAGTGCATTTTAGGCCTATAAAATATGAATTTTGAAATTCACAGTATATATTTTTAATAATCTATTTGAAAATGCACAAAATTATTATTATTTATTAATCATAAAATAAGTGAACATTTGGCGCAAAATACTTGCTCACCTTACCAGAAAACTTGACAGAAGTCCTGTTACAAGAAAAACTGGCGTCGTATGCACCGAGCTTTACATTATTTTAATAAAAAAAAATAATAGTTTTTTTTTGGCACAGTTGATTAAAATGGACTGAATTTACTGTTTCGATAATTTTGTCGAAAATTATATCACAACTTATGTTCGAAAGACCTTGAGGTCCTGAATGTTAACATATTAAGAGCTTGAGGTTCATCAATATAGTTAATAAAATGCTCTGATACTTAATGGGGTCTTATATTTTTGACTCGGAAACATTGATAGCTGATAAAACTACATAAAATATGCTTTAGAGCTTCAAATATTCAATTGCTATATGTGCTTTATTATATTGTTTCAGAGTTTTCTACGATTGTTTCATAAACATGAAATGTATGAACGAGTCGGCCAGTGCGGCATGTGCAGGAGCTTGTGCAGGTTCACTGTCCAAAACAGTCCTTTACCCATTGGAACTGATTAGGAGGATGCTTCAAGTTCAGGGTTCGTCACTCGTGGCAAGGTAGGATTTTGACATGTTTTATAATTGATTTAAAGTTTTAAAGTTACAAGTAATTGATTGTTTATAAGTCATATAAACAAAAATTTAGTAAATGAAAGTCTACGCTGAATTTTTTAAATTGCAGATTTATATTCTACATTATTTTTGCCATGTGAAATTTTTCAATAAGCATAATCATACTGAATTTGATTCGAACTATTTTTTCGTCAAATAGATAATGCACAATTTATGGAGTATGAAAATTAGGCATATATCAAATGATAAACTTTCTTGAAACTGTTTTGAAGAACTGAAACGAAATTTCTCTTTGGGCAATTTGATTTGCTATAGTTTTTTCTCCTGATTTGGAGTCAAGTATTAAAGAATCGAAATAGATAACTGTCAATTCTACGGTAAAATAGATGATAATACAGCGTTGTTAAGGCAACGCTATGTTATACTTGTTTCTTGGTACTAAAATTTGTGAAAATGCTACCTAATATTTGCTTACATAAACATAAAAAATTGGGATGCGTATTTATAATACGGTTTTATGTGTAAAACGTCTGATTTACGCATTTTCACAGTTTTTAGTATCAAGAAGCAAGTATAACAGAGCGTTGCCATAACAACGCAATGTTATCGTCTATTTTACAGAATTGACACCAAAGTTCGTAACATTTACGTTACTACATATATATCGTAAATAAATATAATTGTATTAAATTTAAATAAAATAAGGTTTTACGAATTTTAATTGAACTCATATTTTGCTTGCTACTTATGAATTATTAATTAAATTAACCCTTTTCAAGCAGAATTTGCGAGTGGAAAGAGTTAATTATGTTGTTAATACCTTTTTGTAGATTAATTTATATCTTTATCCTTTTCCTCATCCTTTTTCCTTCCTCAGTGTTCCCACTGGATCCTTCTACGTCTGTGCAGGGTTTTGGCACTGTTTGAAGATAATATTTCGAAAAGAAGGTGTATCCGGCTATTACAAAGGATTCATGTTATCCGCTATTAAATCCATGATAGGAACAACTTTAAATTTTTTTACTTATGAATTTATTCTAGCTATATATTCACCTGTGCGCAAATCTATTGATGGCGACGTGTGATACTTTTGTTTGAAAATGTTTTCTTGTGATTGTGTATAATTATTATTGTCTTTGTTTTTTATAGTATGTTTTTATATTAGTAAGGAATAGGAATTTCATAAAAAGTCTGAATAAACAGAAAATATTTATATTTATTACGTTTTAAAATAAATATTATAATTAGCTCTATATCCCAAACAATGCAATCAAAACTAGTAACAACTCAATGAACATGCAGAAATTTTGACTTGAAGTTTGAAATTATATATGAGGTGAGTGTGACCACACATTTGAAATTATTTTTATGAGTGATCTAACATTCAATTTGCATATTTATTTATAAACTGTATGTATTACTAAAGCAATTATTTTAATAATAATTTTAATTTACATATTTGGTTTTGAAATATATTATTATATATTATATTATCTATACTTAAATATATATAATGTCTTACGCTCTAACACGAAGAGATTTTTTTATCCTGTTCTTTATAACATCGTTATATAATATCTTTATACATAAATCTATATAATATTATATTATAAAGATTACATGTAGCTTTCAAATGGTTCTCAATTACAATCTTCGAAAGTGTTAAATTTCATTAGGAGATTTTTTTCTAAAATGTTTGCTCATTTTAGTTTGAATTTAATTATCATAAGCTTTAGTTTTACATTTTCTGAATTGGAAATGCATACAGCAATTCGTATAATAATGGACGAATTTTCTGGTTAATTTACCTTTTTATAATTAGCTTACATTTTATCCTTGAGGCAGACATAAATTGTTCAGAAAACACTATATATAAACAATCTTAATCAATTTTACTACTTCTTCATACACTTTCTAACCATAAGATATAGTGTACCCCATGCTGGACATCAATGTTTCTTTAATTGCCGGTTGTAGAGCTCTTTGCATGTAGGATGTAAGCAATCCTCGAATTCCTTTCGAGAATATATCTTCCATTTCACGTGTTACTTCATTGCCGCCTCCATCGTCACCAAAATCTTCACCAAGTTCTAATTCACCATCATCAGTTGTATCTCCGTAGAAATCTGATTCGAATACATCGAATATTCTGGATTGTCGAGTTTCAGGCTCGTTGTCGTATACAGTGAATCGATCATCTCCTAATCCGGATCTGATAAAATATAAAGTCAAATGATAATATATTACATTATGAGTAATAATTTTGACTTCTTAAATCAATTCCGTTTTTTAACTTCCCGAAAGAGAAGTTTATGTTTTCATCAAAAAATCCGAATTGCTAATTTTATGTTTTCTCGACGTTTCAAGCCATTCTGAATCGAAAAAGACCAAATTTGGAAAAATTATGTATGTGTATGTGTATGTGAATAGATTTTTTGCCGTAAATCGACGTTTTCTCAAAACCGGCTAGACCGATTTCAAAAATTTAAAAGCCATTCGATGTATCGCGATGAGGCGTTTATCAATTTTGCACGACGATCAGCCAAGCCGTTTTTTGTAAATAACAGTAAAGTGAAAAATTTTTTGTCCACGTTTTAGCCCGCAGTTCTAAATCGATTTTGAAAATTCAAAAACCGTTCGAAAGATATTGGTCGGGAATCGTGCTGATGAGTTTTTAGTAGAGATCGGCCGTTTTCTTGTAATAAAGTGTTAAATTTTTTTTTTCGACAATTTTTATTATTATTTTTTTGACGGTAGATACCATTGTCTTCTAGATCATACTAAAATATTACGGCCCTACGACAACTAGCTTAGCTTTAAAAATTTGCCAAAGTTTGCAAAAATTAGTATCGTTTTTTTGGCATTTGTCAAAATTAGACCTTTCATCGATGATTGCTCAAAAACGCCTGAACCGATTTCAGAAATTTAAAAATCATTTGGTATGTCTCAATGAGGACTATCGCTTGCCAGTTTTGTGCGACGATCGGCCGAGCCGTTTCTTTGAAATTTGGAAGAAAGTGTTAAACTTTTCGTCCACTTTTAAGCTCATACTACCGAATCGATTTTCAAAAATCAAAAACTGTTCGAAAGGTATTACTTGGGAATGATACTGATTAGTTTTCGGTAAAACTCTACCGAGCCGTTTTCTTGTAATTAACTGTTGAAAAAAATTTAATCCGATTTTTATGGATATTTTTTGGCGATATATACCATGGTCTTATAGAACTTACTGAATTATTAATGCCTTGTATCTCAATTTTAAAAATTCATCAAAGTTTGAGAAAATGAGTATAACTTGGTATAACGATAGAGTACTTGGTCTTAATAAACGTAATAAATCAAAGTCCTATGGAAACTGGTTCAATTAAAAAATTATTGATTTTTGAAAATTTGCTTTTAGAAAATACTCCGTTTGATGTCTTCGTTCCTTTTCAATTATGTGTAATAAATACACTCGGAATACTTTTAAACACTCATAAATTAATTTATTTGTTATTGATTAAGTCGATTATTTACACATATCGGGAAGTTCATGTAACTGCCTCAAGGCAAAATACCAATACCAACTAGTTTATTATAAACTTTAATAGTATATAAATATAACAAAGTGGAATATTAATTGTTTATTCAAGAATAGCTTATACGTCATTTCTTTTGAATGGACTTATTTACATTACTTTACAAATTCACATTATAAATAAAAGCAAGTTCAATTTGAACAAAAGCAAGATAGATTTACCTTCCGTGACTCTTATGCTGCCTGTCATAATATTCATCTTGATAATCATTTCTATCGTTATAATAACGTGAGTCGTATCTGTACTTTCCATTTCTGTCTCTTCTTCCATCAAAATCACGATCCAAGAATGGATCATAGTTGGCACCATGAAATAGATACTTTGAATTTCTTCTGTGCTGGTGATAATCTCTTACCTCACAACCGTGAGCAAAAACACTTAGGAAACCTAGCAATTTTTAAATTATTAGTTAAATTTTAATTGCATTCAATTGGTCTGACACTTTTCTGTTCACATATCAAAAATATAAATCAAAACGCAAGTAAAATTTTGCATGAGATTATAATATACCAGATGGCAGAGAAGAATAATTAGAAATTGATATATCTTCTTTGAATCAAAATAACACTCAAAAGCCAGTTTTAGTTAAAAATATAATGGTTAATGTAAATTTATTCAGTGCTAATTATTAGCAGCACTTTCGATTTTTTTATATTAACATTGTTTACTTTTACTAAAATTCAGGAAATACTGAGATATACCTTCATAACAATGACCTTTAATTGGTTAGTTCTCACATTATCATTTCTTGTATTCTTACTTATAAATGATCAATCGAAAATAAAATTGTAGAGAACTTGTAGTTCACTTTTTTACTAAGATTTTGCACAAGCAAATAGATTATTTTTTCTTTATGAATTTTAAAATTATATAATACCTGGTTCGGTGAATTGAGAATCCGTACGAACGCTGACGCTTCCTTCAGATCGCGACAATGGTCGAGTTGTGAAACGTATTCCCGCTCTGTTAAACAAATTTTTTTTATTATACTCTGCATTTGTTTAAAATAAATGTTTTCATACATAGTTTGCTTAAATATTTAGGAAGTTAATACAATGGCAATTAAAATTACATCTGAGTTGAAGTTATATAACTCAATTTTTTGTTATATAATGCTGAACAAAGCCTGAAATATATGCGTATCTACTCATAGAACTAGTTCTATAAGTGTTCTATAAGTTGTTGTGAATTAAATTGAATTTTTACGTTTGACTTTTAGGAATGCTATGTAACCATATATTGCAATGTAATCATATAATCGTTTTTATTATTATTATTAATTATTAATTAAGAGACTTATATTTTAGATAAATAATCTAATGATTGTCCTTACCAGCAGAAATTTATATTTTTACCACTAAACGCTATTAAAAGACAATCCAAAAAACATAATTTTGAACTATGATATTGAAGCACTGCTTTAAAAGACCATTTTTATATGAAAATATATTTGGGTCTATATTTTTAGGTGAAAACCGACTATCACTTCTGATTGATTTAAGGCTATCCGAAATTAGGGCATCAATCCGAAACTCCTGGTTATAAAATTAGCGCTTACCTCAACCTATGAATCCCTTAAAAATGGATTTAACTCAACAATATTAACTGATATAAAATAACTGTAAATGTGATTAGCGAACAAACAATCATGGATTCAATAATTTAAATACCTTCCATATTACAGAAAAGTATTTATAAAATATTGATATTTGCTTTTCATATCTATTATGATTTTATATATTTCTATATTTTCCAAAACGTTAACATTTTATATATTTTCAAGAATTATTAACTTCTCGAAGGCCAAGTTTGTTGTCGCGAGAAAATCCGATTTGCTTATTTATGTTTCAAGAAATTCTGAATTAAATGAGATCTTTGGTAAAAGTTTTTGTGTGTGTACGTGAGTTGATTCTTGATCATTTCTCGAGGTTATCTCAAAAATGACTGCACCGATTTAAAAAATTTAAGCCATTGTATGTAACTCGATTAGGACTAGCTTACATTATAAATCTTAGAATTTTGTGGTGAGCTTGGGCGATTCTAATCAGAATCTATGCCGAACATCTAAAAACGTTTTAGTTCAGTCATTTAAGCTTAAATTAGGTAAGAGTTTCGAAATTCGAGATACCCAGCTGTAAGTCTGGGTATTTTGCACCCTAAAAGTTGTCTCAAAGCCTACATATGGTAGAGTATACGCAATATATGTAGGTTTTGTGACAACTTTTAGGGTCCAAAATACAAGTATTTACAGACTTACAGCTGGGCATCTCGAATTCCGAGGTGAACTTACTATAATGAGTGAACATTTCGTGTTTTGTAAGCTACTGATTACAGCTGACGTCCACAAAAACTACATTTTTGGAACACAAAATAGTGAAGTGCAATGCGTTTAACAAATTAAGTAATTTATACATATCCACAAAAAAGTACATTTTTTGAACATGAAATAGAGAAGTGCAATGCGTTTAACAAATTAAGTAATTTATACAATTACATATATTATAAGT